TTCTTAATATATCAAAATAGACAAAGTAATTATGAATAACTACTGTGGACAACTAAAAAGGGACAAAGAAAGTACTAAAGTATCTTAATAGGAGCACCAAAAATCTCTAAAACACCATGTTTACTCCCTCCATTTAAAAAATAATGATCTTTTTTTTCTTTTTAGTTTGTTTAAAAAAGAATGATCTCTTTCTTTTTCGGTAAGATTTTACTTTTACCTTTTCAGGTGACATATTTAAGGCCACAAGATTAAAGGGTTATTTTGTACATTCAACATAATTTTACTTTTGACCACAAGATTCAAAATTCTTTTTTATTTTTTTAAATTTTGTATCAAGTCAAACTAGGTCTATTTATATAAGAGACTTTCAGAAAATTTCAACGTGTCTTCTTGGTGGTCATTCAATTGACAAATAGGAATATTTTTGTCACAAAAATTCTAGTTTCTCATCTCAAAGTAATTAGGTAAACAGGGGTACTATTATCTTTTCACCTTCTTCTGTATACGTTTCTTCCTCTCTATGCATTCATCAAATACGTAATCTTCTACGATTCAACTATAATCTTAAACACATTGGGGGTCATCTCCATTTTGTTTTCTCTGCTTTTGGTTTCTACTTTTGCTTTAGGTTTTTTACTTCGTTCTTGGTTCCTTCTATATTATCCAAAAGAGTAAATTGTTGTATAGTATATATAAAGGAAGACCTTGTCGTTCTGTTGAAGCTGCTCTATTTATATTGTTGCTACCAGGTCTGCAATTTCAGTTATCGTTTTCCCCTTTCTTCCAATTAGATTTTCATATTTCAACCTGTTAAAAATGGATTACATTTTAAGTTTTGTATTAACTAATGTGCTAAATCGAATTATGTTTTTGGAATTTCAAGTTTGTTTGATTTTATTTGGGATCTACTAATTTTGGAGCTTCGAAGCCTTTGACATTATAGCTAAACCAGACTTCAGGATATTCTCTCTACATGTGTTGTGAGAAATAGTTTTGTCGTTTTGGTGATTAAGCTGGATGAATCTTATGTATTAGTGTAGGCTTTCTGTTGGGTGTTAGTATTGAATGTTATGTTTGTGTCTTAATTGTTGATGGGCTTTGGAGAATTGATGTGATCCTCTTTGATCTTGGCATTTTGTAACTTTTTTCCCGTTAAAGTTAGTTAATGAGTTCCCATAATTGCATTCTTGATTTATTTAATGAAGAAAAAGCTTTAATTTTGTTGATCAACTGCTCTTTTTAATACAACAACAACACACCTAATGTAGACCCACAAAGTGGGATTTAGGAAGGGTAAAGTGTACGCAAATATTAGATAGTCTTCAATCGCCTGAATATGACACATAAAGACGAAAAGAGAATATACTTTGTGAAGGTGAGACAGAATGGGAATATTAATGTAAGACCCCGAAGATGACCTAGGTTAACTAGATCCTAACATGTTGGTCTTGATGGTCTAAGGTCCTAAATATGTCTAATATATGGTATAGAGGCAGTAGCTAAAGTATTAGGTGTGTTGGAAGTCAAACGTCAAGGGACTAAGTCACCTAAATGTCTCTTATGTGGTTCTATGTGCTTTTTTTTTCATGATTTTTTAAGGTTCTTAATTGAGTTAATATAGCATGTACCGGCAGTGTTTAAAGTTTGGTGAAATTTGAAGGTCAAACGAGTAAGAACGTCCACGACATTCGAAAGATATGCATTGAAGTGACCTTGTACGTCTAGGCGTGTTTCGCGAGTTTTATGTGTTCGTTTCATATGGAATTAATGTGAGAGGTGTTAAACTTATAGAAAATCGTAATTAGGTTGGAAACATCCGGTAAATTATCCCAAAGGACCATCTAAGGGTCCTTGAGGATGGACCCAAAACTGTTGCCAAAACAGTCCCAGGCAGGCCCCAGACGACGGAGCAGTCGACAGATCAAAGGCATGTTGATGCCTCGTCAAAGGGTGTCGTCGTGGGGGACTTAGCCATGGGTGAAGAAGGAAGCCTTGGCAGGCTAGTGTAACCACCGACGGTGGCCAGTGACGGCCCGTCGTGGTGGTGACGCCCCGTCGAGGACAGGTGTCGAGCGACCTGTCTTCCTGTGCAGGCTACTGCCAACCAATTCACCCCACTTCTAAATTAAGTCATTGGCGGTTTATTAAGGGTCTTTTGGGTATTTTGACTAAGTATATAAAGAGTAAACACTTAAAGATTTCATTCTTCCAAATTCAAAACCCAAAACTCTTTGAAAAATCCCAAAGACTCCATTGAAGTCCAAATTGAAGAAGCAGCTTGGTGTGGGGGTTTTGAGTGGAAATTCGTCATCAAAGTGAAGAATTATCATCCTTGAGGTATGACTTTTGATCCTTGAAACTTGTATCATCAAGGAGCCCAACTCTCAAGAGGTTTTTCAAAGTTTTCTAAAGTGAATTGTCCAATTTCGGGATTCTACCATGGGTTCTTGCATAAATGATTTCTAAACATTGAATTATGATATAATTGATATTGTATTGATGCTTTCAATCTAAATTACCTATGAACCCATGTAAATTGATGAACCCTAGTTTTGACTACTTACTGGTTACTTGATATTAAACTAATATTGTTGAATTGTTATGTAGTTTCTTATGGGCTTTCTAATGATATAAGAATTGTATTCAATTGATATCTAATTGATCTTAGATTGTTAAACCTAGATTGAATTGATGTAGATTCATTGAGTTTTAAGGTTATTACTTTGAATAATTGTTCATGGCCATGGGTAAGGGCCTTGTGATGTTGAATTGGTTGATTTGGTATTGAATTGAAGTTCGGATGAGGGGATAAAGGTATGCTAACCCATTTTCTTTAATTTGACATTTATTATACTTCGAATCTATTGTGATTGGTATGGTCAATTCATGGTGGTGATGTTATGTGTTTTACTTGCAATTGTTGCGGTCTTATCGGCGTTACTTTATGCAATATGATGAGCATGTCCTTATTGACAACTACTTAAAGTAATGTGGCATTTGTGTAGTTGATTATGTGAAGCACGGCATTATCTATCTACATGTGAAGTCATAGGTGTGTTCTTCTACTTATGTTGCCTTAAGTGATCATGTTAGACTATGACTTTGACATTATGAGTATAGTGTTAGGGTTAAGTCTTGGTTATTCCTACTTGGCTTAGTGAGTCTATGTGGAGTACATTAATGATGTTAAGAAGATATATAGGATGACTTGAAGATATTAGATTGTTTCTAGGTGTTTCTAGAATGATTTGCATTAGGAGTTAAAAGTGAAGTATGTGGTATCTTGTCTTGGTTGACTTGTGTCCCTTGCTTGATGTATATATGATTATGAATATGTGATGTCTTGATTTAGGATGTTAGAACTCTTATTTTTGAATATATGAATGACATGTGACTTTAAATGATTATATGAGAGTCTATTATGTGAAAAACCTTGACTTAAGGGTAAGGTTAAGATTTGTTGAAGCGTAAGCCGTAATAGTATCCTTCAAAGTAAAGGAATGATGAACTTAAGGTTATTTGGATGGAATGACATCATATTAATCCTTAGGAAAGTCATCATTAGCTTCTTGTCGCCATTGTGAGATAGCCCTAGTGGACCTTCCTTGGTAGGGTAAATGTGATTGGGTTATGAGCTTGTTATGGAACCCTTTTATGTGAACTTAATGTATGAGTTACTCTATGAGAACGAAGGCTAGCACCAAGTGAGTATGGTAAGGGAAAGTAGTTCTAGTTAAGTATGAGACTAGATTACAAAGTATTCCCTTCATATTCCTTAACCATGTGCCTACATGAGATGTGTCTAAGTTCTATCATTGGCAAGTAGAACAACCTCATCGGAGTAAAATAGAACTCCGGATTTCATGTCTAGCTATCGTGGTCTATGTTGGTTATTGCCAATTCTCATCATGTGGAATACCTTTTATCATTGGAGAAGTTTATGAGGTTTAAGTGGTGGTATGGGACGCTATCTAGACATTGCATAATAGACATTGAAGGTGTTATGTGGAGTTCCTAGGTCTTGTCGAAGACCATTATTATAATGTCCTTTATGTGATGTATGATTCTTAATGAACTAATGACTTATCTTATGTAGTATGTAAAATGAATAAGTACCTATCTAGTTAAGGTGTGAAGGGGGCATAGGAATGGTCACTTCGTATCTTTACCTAGATGAGTCTTAAGAATGACTCTAATTAGGGAAGATGTTGATTATGTGGACATGATCCGAACTTAGAAAGTCATAAGGATTATTTAGGTAGTCTTGAAGAGGTCAATCATAGACGTTATCTTCTTGACCTACTTAAGTAAGTCTTTTGATAGACTTTGATGAGGAAATGTCATTGTGTCTATATGTTGATATGTTTGATTCTTGAAGTGTGTATCTGACTCATTATAAGTAATCCTAAGGGTCGTTTAGGCACTGATACGCTCAAATTTACTTCTCGAAATGAAGTAAAAGCGATCGTATCAAGTAAAGAACCCAACTAGAGAGGTTGGAATCGTTCCCTCGCACGTTGCGCGTGCACCCCTTTTTAGTAAGCATATGTATTTTAAAAATTTACATCAATATATAATAAATATATTCAAAAATTAATG